AAATTCAAAGTGCTCAATAATTTCCAGGGCGTTCTTAGATAGGAGAGGAAACACTCTGGAAACAGGTCCTAAAAAGCTTGTGCATGCAAGACTGGGTTTCGCTTCAGACAACAAAATAACCAAGATATAAACTGGTTTCCTTTTAATCAGCATCAACAATACATACGACACTTACAAACAAGGAATTGCCGGAGGGGAGTTTACAAACACGGGAATGGGGGTCCCTTGCGAAAAGTTGTGTTTTTCCCATGGGAGAAATATTTGGGGGGGCAGGAAAGAAGGGTTGGGGGGCGGAATCCGGTTCGTCTTCGTGTGTGTGTGTGTTAACAGATGTGTGCCCACCTATTTTACAATGGAGAAAAACGTCCGAGGCTTCTCAGAGAACTACCAATCTTTTATAAAATCTAGCAGACTACATAGTGTCTGAAATAACTATTTATAGAATATAGACCTTTGACTGAAAGAGCAAGGGCCTATAACGGGAACAGGGGTCCTCCCAGCATCGTTGCGCTTTCTCTCGACCCGGTTTGGAACCGGAACAACTTTTTTTTCTTTTTTGGGGGGGGGGCTCTTGTTCAGACCTCTTTTGATCTCCTCTCATGATATTTTTCTTTTTTCATTTCTCTCTTCTCTCCCCCCCCCCCACAATCTCTCTTTTTTAAAAAAATTAGAATCGGTTTAAATATATTCATAAATAGGCACAAATAGTTTTTGTGTGTTTGTCCAAGGAAAGAAGAAACCCCAACCTGGCGTCTGAGAAATGTACAATCTTTTGCCTTCTTCTGTCGATCCATGCCGCCCCCTCGCCCTCCCACACCACCCTCCCCCTTTAACTGTGTAGTCTTTATATTACAACTTGCTTTTACAGCAGAAAATGCTTTAAAATCTTAATAAACCGGGGCGGGGGGGGGGGAGAGAGAAGAGGGTTGGTTCACCTTAAAGGCTCTTGCCTTCAGCAGCTGCTAAGACTGAGCCTGGCTCGGCTTTCTAACTCAAAAGTCCTTGTTCATCATCATCATCATCACCGATCAGCAATAAATTATTTAATTTTTTTGTTGGGGGAGGGGAGGGAGAGTGAAGGATTATTGTTTGTGTAGGCAATCATAATAATAATCATAATAATAATAAAAAAGCTTGGGTACCATGTGTGTGCAGTCCAAGGAAGGAATCCAGGAGGCCCCCCGAGAGTTTTCCCCCCAAGGGCCCAGTCCCTGTTGTGCAGGAGAGGCTAACCACAGTTTGGAGGAAGGGGCACCCAAAGGTGCTCCTAACTGACCAGGTGTGCTTTCTCTTTCTTTTCTGGCCTCTGGCTCTGCTCGCTTTCCTTCTCTTCCTCTCCCCCTTTGGAGGCTTTGGGAGTCCTTCACTTATTTGAAAGCACAGCCGCAGAGTCTCTCTCTCTCTCTC